GTAGGATTGCCCAACCTTCCTTCCGAGGAGTGGCTGGTGGGTTTGAACCGCCAGCCTTCTGGTGAGCAGTCAAGTGCCTTAGGCACTATGCTACGAGAGCTCCTGGTACACTGTAAAACTTCCTTGGACCTCTAAGGCTTATGTAGGATCCCACAGCCTCTTTGTGAATCCTATAAGTACAGGAAACTGTTGATACATTCTGACTATGTTAAGTTCTAGTCCCCTAGGAAGGAATCTTGGGTAGTAGAAGATGGTTGAAGGTCACCAACTGTACTCATTATCAGGGCAGTGGCAAATGGAGATCTCCCATGGGTAAGTTTTATAGACTATGAAACCAATCAATTAGACAGGATCTAGCTGTGCACACTGACACTGTTCATCACAGCATGTTCTCCTTACCTGGGCACAGAATTGCAATTTTGTTTGAACAAAGTTCTTTTGGATCTTGTGTATTTATACTACAGGTATTTCACTTCCTTCATTGTTGTAGTCTACAGGCATAAGGAGGACACTGCAGGAAAATTGGGGACATTGTTTCTTGATTGAACTCACCCACTCGAAACTCAAGGACATCAAATTGACAATCTTGGTGACTTTCTAGGTGAAAATCCTCAAAATAAATATAAATGGATGAATTTTCCTGCTTTGGATTACTGAGAGTCCATTCACAGTTTAGGTTTCTTGAATAGTTACTGACGCCATTATAGCCAGGAGAAGTAAAGTTGCCTTCTGGGAAATTTGTAAGGGACCCGCCACATACTAAGAAAACAAAAAGCAACAGAAAAAATAGTAAGATTCATGCCATAACAGAAGATACAAACAATATAAGAACAATAATTAATATAAAACTGCTAACATCAGTGATTTGATTTGTTTTTCTAGATGAAGCCAGTGTTGTGGTTAAAGGGTTGGCTCATGCATGTCAACTATGGAAGAAGTTTCTGTGAGTTTAAAAAGGAAAGATGTATAAAAATAAACAGCTTCTTTAGTCTCCTGTAAGTGTAGATTAGATGGATGGGATTTGGCTGTGAATCAATATTTTCTAATTTGGTTGGGCCTATTATTCCTCGATTTATAATTTAGAGAAATACTCAAATGTAACCGTTGTAGGTCTTATGGCTTCTGATTTGAAATTCTCCATTCACTCAACCCAATAATTTAATTGGATCAAACAGAGGATATGATAACACTGGAGTACTAATGTATTTGCCCCTTTTAACAAGGGAACAAATGCTCCTCTTATCAATGAAGTAACTTAAATTAAAAAAAAAACAAAAACACATTTTGTTCCACTATTCCTAAATTTAAAAACCACTGGATAATAGCACCAACCCAGAGAGTAAAGGGATATTTAGAATTAGAGCCACACCTAGCTTAATTTTAAAATACTCTATACCAAATATAAAGACCCTTTTCCCATTAATTTCGCACAGATAAATGATTAGGAAACACTGAAATCTGTTTCTCTTGATTAAAACAGTTATTCTCTGAGAGTATGTTGCTTCTAAGAGGTAGATAGTCTCTTTCATCAAAAAATAATCCACCAGGAACTGAGGAACAGCCAACTATAATGGCGACATTACATGGAATTGAGCTAGTATTTTTTAAAGTTTTTGATTCACAATAGAAGTTTTCTTTGTAAAGCCTCCATTTTTTTTTTTTTTTTCTATGTTGGTTTTTCTATCTGTTATGCACACATGTCTTATACAGAAGATCCCAAGTGTAATGTTTGTCACTAAAAGGAAATAGGAGCTCTGGTGCTGTTGGCAGTAGTTGTGGGGCATCTTTAGTGTATCAGATCAATAAAAGGTAAAATTATATCCTCCCATACCTGCATCTTCACTGGATGTGTAGGAAGCAAGGAAGCCTCCATATGGCCTGGATCCATCAGTGAAAAAAATGACTTTCATTGTATTTCCTGAAGATTTTATCTGATTACTTACATTCACACTACTACACAGTTTCTCTAGTTGGGGTGAGTTACTTCTAATGCCATTAAATACCTGTTGGAAAAACAGTTTAACCTTTAGACACAGAGTCCATCTTACTGAATATTTCCTAGGAGGTGATATTCCCAGCCGAGACCCACTTCTTTCTAAGGAAACCCTGAGCTAAAATGAATTACTTAACAATGCAGGCTCCTATCCCCAGGCTACAAGCCACTAAGTTACTCTGACCACATTTTGTGACCTCAGTGTCATTTCAGTAAAATGAAAGTATTGCAGTAATGCTCACCTGCCATGTGGTGACAAATGAAAAACTGCTGTACACTTTGCAATTGGAAACCGTGTTCTAAATGTAAAGTAGATATTCCAGTATGCTTACATTTTCATTTTACAAAGTTCACTGACAGGCAGTTTTTCTTAATGCATTAGGACCTTTGATATTTAGAAAGAAGGCTTAAAAGTTGGTCAGCGATAAGTTGAAATATATAATAATTCAAGTGTTCCAAAATAGCTTCAAAAGTAATCTTAAAAATCTCATTTTAATATTAATAGTTCTTCCCTAATTACTTAAGATTCAGAACAATTTTCTTACCAATTTAAATTTTTTAAAAATGGACTAGAGTATTGTTCACTCCAAAATATTAAACAGTAACTCTAGTTATGCACATAGTTACAATCATTGGCAAAATATTATTCTATTGCTGTACAAAACCAAGGTGAAATTTTAACATGCCTGATTTTTATAGTTAAAAAAATCCAAAAACGACTAAACAAGTATTGATTGATTGATACTCTCATGTAGAAAAAGGATTTGAATGGCTCACAATTGGAAATAATCACTCAGACTATGCCACAAAGAGCTATGCTGAAGGGGAATGGAGTAAATAACAGAAGATATGTGCTTTTTTTTATTTACTATAATTGATCATTAAATTTAGTCCTGCGGGGACTTCTGGTTTAAAGCATCTCCCAGTTAGTGGCCCAGACATAGCATTTCCTGTTCCATACCAAGCACTGACAAAATGCCAGACTGCATTTATCATCCCAATCAGACTATCTCATGCATCAACACAACCCTCTTGGGTATATAATATTATTCCTATTTTCCAGACTAAGAAACTAATCCATTTTCCTACGTTAAATACAATTAGTAATAGAATTGGGATTCAAACCATTCCTCTGATTCAAATCCATGAAATAATGCAAAAAAAAAAAAAAAAACCAGAAAATGACAAACATTTCAATGACATGACACTGGAAACAGGAATCGGTAACATAGCCAAATTCAAAAGATTAATCAGTCACTACAAGGTTAATGGGACATATTGGGAAACATGATCAAAGCCCTTTCTCCCTGTTCTTATGTCTGCTCCTGGCTTAGAATCATAAGGACTAAAAATTATGCACTCATCCATTTATCATGTGGAGTTCTGCTTTTAGAAGCAACCAGAGTGCTATTTCCATTCTTGTCTTCCATTTTGTATGCTAAAACTACAACTCCAGAAAATCAAGATAGTAGAAGGTGGGCATATGAGACTCAGTATAGGCTCTAAAATTTGCTATAGGCAGTAACAAAATCAGATACAGTTTTCATTGTAGTGCATACTTAGTAGTATATTTTTTCCTCTTCTCCATCTTCTGCAGTGAGTCAGAAATACAGCTGGGTGTGAAGATATTTTATGCTCAGTTCAGCCGGACAAGGGATTAGACTAGAAATAGTGTACTTCATATCTGCCTTGCTCCATCTGTAGATATTAGAAAAGTTTTTGTTTGCTTGTTTGTTTGTTACAAGTCTATAAGTAAAGGATGGGCAAATGGCAAATCTACATACTCTTTGCAGCAAAGTGAAGAGGAAACAAAACTGACTCTGAACCTAGCAAATATATTTTTGAGAAAAGGAATGTAGAAATAATAGTAAAGATTCAGAAAAAGAAACTAATTCGGAAAGTGATTCCTTACTGCATTGCTTGATTTTCCCAAGAAAAGAAAACTTTAGATATGACATTTGTAGGTTCCCCCAATTAAATAGTCCAGATCCACCTAGTCACCATTCATGATACCTACAGGTTGATAAAACGCAGCCATGCACATCAAGCTACCAATCAGCTTTTTAGTATTTCATTCTTAAGTATGAATGGCTATCCGCGGACATTCAGGGAAATGTCTAATGGAAAAGGCAGAGACCAAAATAAATAAACAGATAATAAGAACTTAAAGGAAACTGACCACAAAACAAGCAACATGAAACTTCCAAGTTATGATTAATATATTTGAAGATATAAAAGAACATATCCTATTCATAAAAGGATATTATCTCCACATTCCTTTTCTCTAAAATGTATTTTCATAGGTTCAGAGTTAGTTTTGTTACCTCTTCACTTTGCTCCAAGCAAAAGTATGTGGGTTTGTCATTTGCCCATCTTTTACTTATGGACTTATAACAAACAAACAAGCAAACAAAAATATAAATAGAACGTTATATGGATAGAAAGGTTATAGACCAAGAAAGACCTCTTGGAACTAAAAACAAAATAGAATCTTTTATAAATACAAGAGACTAATAATAAGGGAAAAGTTAAATCTCTTAGAGGAAAAAGACAAAGATAGAATACAAAAAAAAATTTTGTGATCAAAAAAGGACGTCTAGTATTCCATCAAAAGGAATTTCACAAAGAGAACACAGGGATGTAAAATATAAAAACATAATACAAGAAAATATCTCAGAATTAATCATGTGAGATAACCAACTGAATGGACCAAAAATTACCTAGGACAAGGATAAAAACAGATCTACACAAAAGTACATCCTTGAGACATTTTAGAGTTATCAGTGATAAAGACATGATCCTAAATCTTAAAGAGTACAACAAAGAATGGTAACATGGTCAAGACAAAAGGAATCATACTGAAAATAGCAACTTAGGAAACTAAGAAAATAATGTCTTAGAAATTTAGAGGGATAATGTTTCATCTTCCAGATCCTTTTTCCTCTTGCAGTCTAAATCCAGTCCCACCTGTATCAGATTATCCAAATAAACAAGGCTGTTGTTGTTGTTGTTAGGAGCCGTCGAGCTGTCTCTGACTCATAGCAACCCCATGCACAGCAGAACAAAACACCACCCGATCCCCTGCCAGCTCCATGATCCTTGCTATACTTGAGCCCATTGTTGCAGCCACTGTGTCAATCCACCTTGTTAAAGGCCTTCCCCTCTTTGGTCAGCCCTCCACCTTACCAAGCATGACATCCTTCTCCAGGGAATGGTCCCTTCTGACAACATGACCAAAGTAGGTTCTCTGTCAACATACTGCTGCAACCGTTTTTGAATTATCTTCAGTAATATCTTACTTGTGTGTGATATTAATGATATTCGTTGATAATTTTCATATTCTGTGGGATCACCTTTCTTTGGAATGGTACAAATATGAATCTCTTCCAGTCAGTTGGTCCAGTAGCTGTCTTCCAAATCTCTTGGCATAACCGAGTGAGTACCTCCAGTGGGGCATCCGTTTGTTGAAATATCTCAATGGGTATTCTGTTAATTCCTGGAGCCTTGTTCTTCACCAATTCCTTCATTGCAGCTTTGACTTCCTCCTTCAATACCATGGTTCTAGATCATATGCCACCTCCTGAAATGGATGAAGTTCTTTTTGGTACAGTGACTTTGTGTATTCTTTCCATCTTCTTTTGATGTTTTCTGCATCATTCAATATTTTGCCCAGAGAATCTTTCAATATTCCAACTCAAGGCTTAATTTTTTTCCTCAGTTCTTTCAGCTTGAAAAATGCCAAGTATGTTCTTCCCTTTTGTTTTTCTAACTCCAAGTCTTTACACATTTCATTATAGTAATTTGATTTGTCTTCTCAAGCTGCTCTTTGAAATCTTCGGTTCAGCTCTTTTATCTTGTCATTTCTTCTATTTGCTTTAGTTACTCTCCATTCAAGGGCAAGTTTCAGAGTCTCTTCTGTTATCCATTTTGGTCTTCTCCTCTTTTTTCATCTTTTTAGTGACTTCTTGCTTTCTTCATGGATGATGTTCTTGATGTCATCCCACAATTCTTCTGGTTTTTGCTCATTGGTGTTCAGTCCATCAAATCTATTCTTTAGATGGTCTCTAAAATTGGGAGGGATGTTTTAATTGTCTTTAACTTCAAGTTGAACTTGCATATGGGCAGTCGATGGTCTGTTCCACTATCAGCTCCTGGCCTGGTTTTGGCTGAAGGTATTGAGTTTTTCCATTACCTTTTGCCACAGATGTAGTCAATCTGATCCCTGTGTGTTCCATCTGGAGAAGTCCATGTGCACAGCTGCCATTTGTGTTGTTGAAAAAAGGTATTTTCAATGAATAAGTTGTTGGTCTTGCAAAATTCTACCATGCGATTTCCAGCATTATTTCTGTCACCAAAGCCAAAATTTCGAACTACTAGTGATTCTTCTTTGTTTCCAACTTTTGCATTCCAATCACCAGAGATAATTGGTGCAGAAGTTGATAAAAATCTTCAATTTCTTCATCTTTGGCTTTGGTGTTTGGTGCATAAATTTGAATAATAATAGTATTAATGGGTCTTCCTTGAGGTGTATGGATTTGATCCTATCACTGACAGCATTGTACTTCAGGACAGATCTTGAATCCTTTGTGATGATGAATGCCACACCATTCCTCTTCAAAGTGTCATTCCCAGTACAGATCATATGGTTGTCTGATTCAAAATGGCCAAAACCAGGCCATTGCAGCTCACTAATGCCTAGGATATCAATCTTTATGCATTACATTTCATTTCTGACAACTTTCAATTTTCCTAGATTCATACCTCATACATTCCATGTTCCAATTATTAAAGGATGTTTGCCATTGTTTCTCCTCAATTTGAGTCATGCCATGTTAGCAAATGGAGGTCTCAAAAGCTTTACCTTATCCATATGAGTAAGGCTGGTTTTACTCTGATGATGCAGCTCCTTCCCAGTCATACTCTGAGAGCCTTCTAACCTAAGTGACTCATCCCCCTCCCTGTATTGGACAATGTTTCCGGACTATTCATTAAGCTGCGCAGTAATGTATC